GGGTCCTCCGCGGCACCCCCAGCCCGGCGAGGTGGACTCGGGAGGGGCGGGCGGCGGGCGGCGGCTGCAGGTAAAGAGGCACCCTGGTCCTGGGGCTCCTCTGAGCGCCTGACCCGGCCCAGACCCGATGTCTTACAGACCCGAAGGGTCGGCAGACCTGTGCCCTCGGGTCTCAGCCGGGGGCTTCAGAGTGGGGGTAGGAATCCGGGCGAATCGGAAACATCGGCAGAGCTTAGCTCCTGCGGGAAAAGTGGGGGTCGATTTTAGGGAAGGTGGTGAAGGTCTCGGATCCCTTGGGCTCAGTGCGGGTCTCTGAAGAAGGGTGGTGAGGAGAAATCCGTAAATGAGGCCTGTAAGGAAAGCGTTTGAAATTTCCTCTTGAATCAGGTCTTGATGTAAGGTTCCTGATCCTCCCGTAGGACAGGGCGTCTGCCCGGATTCCTCGTGTGACATACTGATGACAGTTCTGTTCACATTGGTGTGAGGCTTAAGTCTTTCAAACGCACATACCATTTATCGTGAAACTTTACACAGATACACATGTATTAGTACCTGTCATGTGGCTATTGTCCAGGATGCAATGTCGACTTTTTAGTGTGGCAATCCACAAGTGTACGGGGTAGGGAGGTCATAGTATCCCTCAGTGCCACATAAACGGTTTAACCATTCGTCAAACCTATGTACTTCAAAAACTTACAGAATTTAGACCATTTCTGCATTGTATATTGATGACAACTGTTATTTTAAATAAATGATACTGCATTTGCTTTTCTAAGGGGAAATATAGGTACTAAGATGCTTTAATTTCTCATCACTGATTCCAGTCTCAGAATCCAGTAATAACCATATGACTGTGCACTGCAGGTGGAAATGAGTTCTCAGCAGTTTCCTCGGTTAGGAACCCCTTCCACCGGGCTAAGCCAGGCTCCTCCGTCACAGATTGCCAACAGTGGTTCTACAGGGTTGATAAACCCAGCTGCTACAGGTGAGATGTGTGATCTTCTGTATTACTTCTTGCTTCAGAAATGTTGCCAATTTTCTAGTTTAAACATTAGCAAATTCCTTGTGGGGTTTTAGTAAATATTAGGTTATTGAATTTGAAGAAAGAAAGTATTACAATTCTAATTTAAATAAGGGTTTTTTTCTTCCAGTTTTAACCATTTTATTTACATGTACCAGAGTGTACATGAAACTCACAGTAAAGCATGCCTATAAGAACTGTTTTTTAAAATGTATTAATGTGTTCTTATTTCATTAAGGCCCAGAAGTATAATAGTAATGCCATGAGGGAGCGCAAAAGTGTGTAAAGCGTAGGTCTTGAGTTTTAGGAGCTTACTGTCTAGGAAAAGATTTTTTCTAAGTATGTACATATATATATGTGTATATATACGTGTATATATATTTATATACACCCATATACGCAACTTGATTTTTAGTTGTACAAAATGCTGTAGATCAGAGGTCCTTCAGCTGGTGATGATTTGGCCCCCCAGGGAATATCTGGCAATGTCTAGATACATTTTTGGTTGTCACAGGTAGAGGGTGCTATTGGCATCTGATATTTAGAGGCTCGGGGTACTGCTAAACATCCTGCACCAGACAAGACAGCCCCCCACAGCAAAGTGTCCAGTCCAGTCAGCAGTGCTGCAGTTGAGTTACTCCTTCAAATAATGTGTGTATTGTATGCGTCAAGTGGGAAGATGGTATTGCAAAGTGAAATAAAGTACTCCTTTTTCTATTCCTTTTCCTTTACTGCCTGATTCCTGTGTTCCTTATGGGAAATGGTACTACCATCTACTCATTGTTCAAACCAGAAATGCAGGCATCATGTTTAATTGTTCTGTCTTTGTCTCTTAGCTCTGAGGTATGGCCCTTTGTCTAATGTTTCAGCCTCATTTTCTGTTGTTCTGCCTCCTTCCTGCCAACTTCATTTTTGCTACAAATTTATTTTAGTTCTCTGTAGACTTGAAGTAACTTTAAGCTCCTTTAGTCTCCTGCTTAATAGTAGCTGCTCATATTTTCTGAATGAATGATAAAAAGTTCCCAATTTTCTTGACCTTGGGACTTTACATAGTCTGGGGTTTTTGGGTTTTGTGTTTCTGGCTACAATTTTTCTTCTCCCTTTCCACACTTACTTATCTGGCTAATTCTTTGTTCTTCCTTGAGGTTTCATCTCAGATGTCACTTTCTCTGGGAAGTCTTTGCTGACTCCATCATCCACAACAATTCAGGGTAGGACCTCCTCCCAGAGTGAAGGCCAGGACCTGTCCTGTCTGTCTCATGCTCCTTTGTATGTGCTAACTTGCTGCAGTGTAGATGTCAACAAATTCTTACAGAGTTCTTTACTTCTTAACAGATATCTTTGACAATAGTTTGGCTTTGGTATAAATTCATAGCAGAGTAATTTAAAGGAGCATAACTAGGAGAATATTTCTGAATATATATTTGCAAGGAGTTACAATGCTTGTTAAAAAAGGTATCAATTAATAATAATTGCCCTCAGATTTTGTTGAGAAGGAAATCATTGATTTAAACCAAAATTGTCTGTAATTTTACTGCTGAAATGTGTTTTTTCCTTTCAATTGCTCTTGAAAAGAAAAAGGTTTTTCCAAATGGTTATTTATCTCTCTGTATTTCCTATTGCTCTTATTGGAAGAAGTCTAAGCATGTCAGGATTTCAAGTGTGTGTTCACAGTTCAGACGTATGGATTACAGCCAGTTCTCTTAACTACTGCCTCAAGAGTTTTTTTCTGATAAAAATTAACTGAAAATAAAGAACTCCAAACGTCTGGAAGAAAACAATAAAAGGTTCCAAAAAGAGCTTAATAGGAAATGATCAGTGTGGTTCTGTCTTAATGAAACTGTCATAAATCAAGGTCTTCCTGGACCAATAGGTTTGGGGAAAAGTTATGAAATTGTCCATTTCCCCTAAAATTTTAATTAGGAGAAAATCTGTTTGGACAAGGGGAAAGGTTAAAAATTAATTGATAATGGAAAGACAGAAGTACAATTGTCTTTATTCACAAACATGATCATGTATGCAGAAAATACTAGAGAATGTTTTAAAAAAGCAATTAGAACTAAGACTGAAATTAGTAGGTGTTGCAGGATTAAAGTTCAGTGTATAGGAATC